GTATTAAAGAACGGGCTCTTCTGTATTGAAGATGATACCAATTTGTCGTGGATGTCATTAATCCAACCTTGATGCTCTGTTATAATTAAGTAAGTATATATTAAAAAAAAAATGTTTATAAAAATGTTGGTGCCTAACTTATTGCAAGTAAATATGAATACTTGCTACCTGATCTGTCAATCGTTGACCCACATAACAATAGGTAAAAATGGATAAGACGAAAGATGTAAACATCACAGAGTGAGTTAACATAGCCGTTGAATCATTATTTTGCCATTCCTATGAGATTAACAATCACAATACACGAAGTTTATGATATAATTTATTTTTAATTCTTTTGAATTTTTAATTTGATTTAAATACTATCAGTCTTAATTTTCATGTAAATATTAATTGTCAAATTATTACGCCTGAATAAAAGCTTTTCCGAAAAAATTCATTGTTATTACCATAATAGAATAATACCCTGAAAGGCATAAGAGTAGACTAGAGCCCATTATTTCCACTAACCATACATATCGCATAGTTGCCTCTATTTGTACTAGAAAACTGTAAATAAACAATTTGTTTATTTAATAATTTATTCAATTTTGTATTTAAAGTATTACACTATAATAAAATATATTTAATAAATGATGTAATATATTTAATATATTAAAGTATTTATATTTAAATAAAATTATAGTTTAATGTTTGTTTAATAACTATAATAAAATTATAATGTATTAATTAGTTTAATTTTTATAATTTTAATTAAGCATCTCGATATATTTTTAATATAGAATACGATAGAACATAACTGCAATAATAATATGCTAATTTGATTACTTACATCAACTACAATTTGTAATTATTTATTTGACAAAATAAATCGTTTAGATAACACTTCCCCTTCTCACATATTTTTGTAGACTCACCTTTTCACTTTTATTTGATGCTGTACAATATTAGCCAACAATATCGCGACAGCTTCATCGTTAGAATTCGATATGTTGTCGAGATTCTGAAGTTTGCCCATTATAACGCTTAATTGTCCACAAACGTGCATGATGAAAAATGCAGCCAAGCCGGCCGCACCGATTCTTGTCGAATAGGTAATTAATCCTGCAAAGGCTTGCAGAGTAAAGACGATCTCGTACGCTGGTGACACTTGTCCATTGAACTTAATGAAGTAACTCGGCATTGCCAGCGCTCTCACGGTGATGTTCTCCGGTGTGAGCATACGACCCTTCAAAATTGGCATGAGTAGTCGATAACATAGTCCGCCGGTATACATGAAAACGGCAGAAAAAATCACGAATTTTCGGCCTACTCTCGCTGTAGACAGCATCGCTTTCCGATCGCTTTCATTGACCGTATCGCTCCAATCCTGATGCACCCGATTCAGGCATGATTGAATCTCTTTTGCGTGGTTCAGTATCATGAAATAGTTTATCCAACTCATCGAAGCATTTACTATTGGCGCAAGCAGTCTGACTCTACGTTTGAATTCGAGTTCTTTTAAAAATACTTGTAGAAGACCCGGCACAATGATAAATCCGAATAAAAAGTGACAAATGACGATTTGGAAACGGGTCGCAATTCTTTCCATGTTGGAAGCGTAATTAGAATTCGGCCACGCGCCGATTGATCGCAGAATAATACGAGTCACTTGTACGGCGTAATTGAAATCGTTATCGTGTTTGCTCGTCGTTAATGAGTTTTTCATTATTAGCTTCACTCAATAGTTTTTCTTTTTTTCACGACTAATTGAATTGTCGACCGCAAATTTTAAGTTTATATTGTTATTTTCCAGACATTAAGAATTTCTGTTAATGTTGTAGGGTTTAGTGACAGATGGTTAAGCGAGACTAAACGTTATAACATTACTGGATATATGTGTTGATAGATAGTCTCCCTTTCTGTAGTAAGAACAGAAAATGTAAAGCGCGCTTGCGTGCATTAAACGTCTGCGCATAATGACGGGGTTATACGAAAGGGGTTGACAAAATTATCGAATAAACGCAATATTGACGGGTAAAGAGAAGGTTCTCCATGTGATGCATGACATTGTAAAATTTAAATTCACGAATGTGAAAGAGTAAAGTCAAGTGTCGTTTTATGTGCTGCATAGTACTGTGTACGTCAACAGAATGTCATGTAAGTACAAAAAAATATTGTAATACTATATTCTAAAAGTACATTACCTTCACAGTAAAGAATTGATATAAAAATACATTTAGTAAGTTGTAAACGCGATGTAATAATATCATAAGTACAGAAGTGTATATATGTAAATGTATAAAGATTATACATTCCGTTTTCAACACAGAGGAATATAATGATAAAAGGTTAAGAAAATTTATGCTTGCGTTAATTTATGATATTAATAATGCTATTTTCATTTAGCTGAAATCTGTAGATTTCAAATCTATATTTTTTTACATATAAAACTTAATTTTTTTATCTAATGAACTACTGTTTTAAATACTGGTTGTGCGTAATATATTCAGATATGCCACCGATGTTCGCATAATCTAAAAAAAATATATAATTACATTTCCAATGGTTTACTTGTTTGTAGTAATTAAAAAACCATAGCATTTTAACAAAATATTTGAAGCGCACTTACAGCACCGAAACTATTTAAAGATAGATCCATAAATTTTCCCGCGGTGATTTTAATGGGAATACTAGACATCGCGATTATCAAAACGAGACCGCGAGCAGTTTTGTGTGGAATTCGATACCAGTCGAGAGTACAAAAAGTGATGTACATCTTCGTGCTCTATAATGGGATAACATAATAGATATCAGTGAGTCTTACCAATATGATAAATTAACAATTATCGATCAATACCTGATCCGTGAGAAGCTCACCGATGAAACATAGTATGAAGATATTAAAAATAAATGTTAAAAGAAGTATAGTATACGTTAGCATAGATACTGCATCATTATTTTCCCATTCCTGTAAAATGAATATAAAAAATGATTTCTATTAATTAATTTCTTTTAATATAAAGATATATTTAAATTATGTTAATAATATAAAAATTATAATAAAATTATATGATTTAATATAAAAAATATATTTTAGTTATATTAAATTTATAATTTTTTGTGTACCATTATTATATAATATCCAAGAAGACACAAGATGAACGTACACCCGACTACTTCCACCAAACATATATATTGCAAAATTTCTTCTACCTTGCTTAAAAAACTAGATTGCATTAATAATAATATTTTATTCTCAGTAATTTTTTTTTATATTTATAAAATAATAATTATAAAATTTTCTCGCAAGCAACATCATTAGTGTAATAACGTTACCTTTTTATCCGGATATGTTGTCTCACGACAGATGCCAATTTCCCATTGGCATATTTATCAGAGAAGTACTTAGCCTGCGTGAGATCTTCCATTCTAGTGATGAGAATTTTTAATTGACCACAGGCATGCAACACCAGAAGAGCTGCCAAGCTATAGGTTCCGCTGGTTGCCGAATATTGCACAAACCCGGAGAGAAACTGGATTGAAAAGATAATCTCGTAAGCTGGCGTCTTCTGTGGATCGACGTATACATAATAACCATCGAATCCCATCGGTCTGATTGTCACATTTTGCGGCGTGACGATGACTCCGCGAGATAATGGCACGATTGTGCGATATGAAAATCCGCTGCCATATACGAAGGCTACGCAGAGGATCGCAAGGCTGCGTCCAATTTTTGAATTGCTTATCATGATTCTGCGGTCTCCAATCAGACTTGCTTTATTCCAATCTTTTTCTATGTGCTCGATGCAATCTTTGATTCGATCACTTCGGTAAATTAACAACGTATGCTTTAGCACCGCCATCAAGCAGTTGCACATAGGACCAATCATCTTGATACGCCGACGCGCATTTGATTCCTTGAGGAACATCTTAAGTACGCCCGGCACAAAAATGAAGTAGAGTAGGACCTGAGACAGAATCCTGAGCATCTTTGCCTGGATAATTCTAAGAGTAGATGAATTTCCAGGCAATGGCCATAAGCCGATCAGGTTTAGAACACCACGCGTAACATTCACAGTGCGTTTGATATTGTCACGATGAAGGATATTCACGTTCATAACTTTAAAATCTACTTGATCTTGACGTCGTCGACGAAGAACTGATCGGACGTACCGTCATGAAGTAAAAATGCAAATGGTGATGCGCTTGCGTCTTCAATGAGAGCGGAAGAAGTGAGGGACTGATAGGTACAACGATTGTTACAATCTTTTCCCTCTTGTAAATCACGAGAAAGTTGTGCAAGTTATTGTTGGGGACGTTCGAGGAAGCATTTACCGTGACGGGAAGTCTAGCGACTTTAGAAGGCACACGAGAAAATAGGGAAAAAAAAATAGCGAGCACACAAAGGAAAACTACAGATGTTCTATTGATCTTTTAACGGTACGTTCATCATTTCGTGTTCAATAAAATATTTTGTCATGGAAGGTAAGAAACAAAGTAAGGATTCGAACAACAATTATAAATGATTGTAAAAGGTATAAAAAGTCATATTAATGCTAATTTCTTTTCTTAGTATTATAGACGTCAAATAGTTTATTAATAGATTATAAAGATCAAATAGAAATGTCTGATACATTGTTTACCTCTCATTATTGCATTACTTGTTCTTCTTTACAGATTAACAATAAGATAATTGAATAAAAATTTTGTAATAGTTTTCTACAATTATTTAGATGATCTCTAACTCAAACAGGAAGTAAAAATGATCAAATCTATACATAATGATATGATACATTATTGTATGAGCAAAGTATATTTGAATCGAGATCTATATTTCGCAAAATATTTTATTTTCTGAGTAAATGTTTGATAAGAGAAAATTTGTATTATGTAATTTTTTTGTTGTATACTTTTATCTTTATATTAATATTTCTACTAATAATTAATGTTCTACTAAATGACGTTATATGTCTACGTCTACAAAAAAATACAATCAAACATTTTTGTATAAAGGGTTATTATTCCATCATTTTTCGAATAAAATTAAGATATGTCACAGCCGTTTTAACCACCTGGAATATAGTACACATTTTCATTAATCATTTTTTATAAGTAAATCCGTTACTTACATCACCGAAAGTTCTGATGGACAGATCGAAGAACTTTCCGGCTTTTAGTTTTGCCGGGACAATCGACGTGGCTATAACTAATATCAGTGCTCGTGCTTTCGCATTCGGAAGACGGTACCAAGCCAATGTACATACTGTTAATGCTAATTTCTCTCCCTAATTTCAGTAAAACAAGTTACAGGGTATAAAATAAAAATCAAAAAGAAAAATATCCAATATATTTTCTATCTTATTACTTATTAAACGCGTTATATGGATTTATATAATACGATACCTCTATGAAAAGTTGTTCACCGATAAAACAAAAGATATAAATATTGAATCCAATTGATGTGAGCAGAATGAGATAGGAGCACATAGATATAACATTTTGATCTTCCCATTCCTGCAAGATTGATAATTATATTTGTTTATTTTGTACACACACAGACACAGATACACACACACACACACACACACACTCGCGCGCGCGCGCGCGCGGAATATGTTTTAAATGTAATAAAATAGCGTCTATGTTTAAAATTGTGCGAACTGTTATCACTGCATAATTATTTAAGCGCACCGTGATGACATCGTGTCCTAGAAGACATACAATAATCGTACATCCCATCACTTCTAATAAGCTTGTATATTGTAAAGTACTTTGCACCAATCGTAAGAAACTACAAAGGGACGCGTACAAATTTTTATTAGAAAATCTTTTAACCTGTTATATTAAAAAAAAATTTAATAATAAAGCAAAACAAAACACAATATATTAATGTGATGTATTAACTTTATGTGAAATTCAATTATTTTGTTCTATTTAACGGATATGTTTTATTTAACAGATGATCATCTCGATACAAATATGAGAATGTAAAAATAGATACAAATATAAGAATGTGATTGATACAAAATAAATAAGACTTACTTTCGCATCTTTATCTGATGCTCCACAGTGAAGGCCAGCTTTTTATCTAAATTCTTTTCTTCTGTTTCGTTTATGAGACTGTTTATTAACGTCATCAATATTTCAAGCTGCCCACATATATGCATAACGAAGAGAGCGGCGAGGCTGCAAATCACCACTGTGATGGTATACTTGATGAATCCGGAGAAGAACTGTATAAAGAACATGATTTCGTACGCTGGACTGATTTGCCCGTTAAATAGAACAAAATAACTCGGGCATGGCAAATGCCTAATTGTGACGTTCTGATTGGTGATGGTTTTTCCCTTGCTTAACGGCACAATTGTACGAAAATATAAGCCGGATATGTACATAAATATGCCGCACAGAATGAGCAAACTTCTTGCAGTCTTGGCTTTATGAATCATGGAATTACGAGCACTGATACTTATGACATTTCGCCAATCGTCCTTCATTCGTGTTAGGCATTTTCTTACTTGATTTTTGCTAAGCACCAAACTGCTGTACTTGAGGACCGCCAGTATCGTGAACATTACAGACGAAATAAGTTTCAATCTGATGCGGGTTCGTTTTTCTACAAATACTATGTACAAGATTGTCGGGATTAGTTCGCAACCGAGGAGAAAGTAGCAGCCTGATATTAGTGAGATCCTTTTTAAATGTTCAAGAAACGAAGATTCTGTCTCTGGCCAGATACCTAATAGACGGCAAATAACGCGATTTAGTTGTATAGTGTATTTTATGTCGTTCACATAATTTTCATTTGGATACATTTCTAATGTGATTATATCGTATTTTTTTATAAGAGCGATTTTATGACGTTATGACTTTGTGTTGTACAGAATGTAGTACAACTCGCGAAAACGACCAGAAGAGTCTTCTTTCGTCACTGATCACAGCGAGCTACCTTCCAGTCAGAGGATAACTTGGTACGCGCTTGCGTTCTGAACAACTGCTCACAAATAGATAATGAGATGCTCTTGGAATTCTCGAGTAAGCACAAAATGAATAAAGTTTAGAAGTTACTAAGGATCGAGGAGAATTGCTTCCTATAAATTGTACTTTTTATCATCAACCTTCCCTAACTATAATAACCAGAAAAGTTATTATGTACGTATAACTCCGTTTCTTTCTCTTTTGTAAACTTGGTATTGTCTCAGTCGTATTTGCAATATGATGACGCAAGATAATAATCAAATGGTAAAGTATATACACTGAAAAAAATCTTAATTTTGAAGAAATATTTCTTTACTGGTATTAAAAAAATTTTTTGTTTGGATCAATGAAAATTTCTTTGAAAATGAGATACTGTACAATATCTTATTTTCAAAGAAATTGTTATTGATCCAATGAGATAATTTTTTTGAATACGAGCAAAGAAATATTTTATGATACGAATTTATATTTGATACATGTTACTATTTCTTAAAATGCACATATATATATAACATATACATAGCATTAAAATTAGAATCGAAATATTTAATTGAAATACTGGATTATATACTTTGATGCATATTATAAAACATGCAGCTGTTTTCATAATTTAAAATGTTTACTCTTTAAACATATTTATAATGTGTTTATAAGAATAAGTTAACGCATATTTAACATATATTTATATATATTACAGAATTACTTCAGAAATAAAAGCACACATTTATTGATAAAAGCGTGTTTTGAATACGGGCCTTAATATTTTATTTCATGAATTTCGATTGATAATCAAACGATTGATTGCGACGCAAACACTTACAATCAGATCTTGCATGTGTTTGCGTTTATTAGAATTTAAACGATACGTGGAAAGCAAGGGCTATAACAATAGGATTTCTGAGGAAAGTTGCTTATTGAGAGGGACAAGCGTTTTCTAAGAAAAGTATCCTTACTCATTTATCGGACTTCGTACTAACTAGGAAAAAGATCATGTTTATCTTTATGTCTTTGTAACTTGCGATAACAACGTAATGCTGATAAGGAAGAAATAATTTTAGTTTTCGTATATATTGAATATCCTGATTTGTATAATTCAACTAATATCAATTACTATCAATTAATATCAATTCTTTAATTTTATGGAAAAAGTAACTGGTATGTGATTATTCTTAATACAAATAAAAGTACATATTAATACGTGTTAATGAATGCTTTACATAATATTTGTGAATTTTTTAATGAAATATAATTAAATACATACATTTAAATAATATTTTGTATTATGTTGCAATATGATTTTGTGTTTGATTTTGTATTTATATACAATTGATTAATTCATACTATATGATGAATATGTCGAGCACAATTAACGTTATAATTTAAAAATTTAATAATTCAGTCGATTACATTTCGAATCATATTAAAATATGTCCCAGCTGTTTTCATAATCTAAAACATTTTCAGTTGTTTTCTCCTCTAATTTATTTTCAATTAATCATATTTAATGTTATTATAATACAAATAACAAGAATATGTCAAATAAAATTGGCATATAAATTGATATAAAATTGACATGCAAATAATATGATACTTATTTTATAAAAAATAATTTTACCTTAATTATCTATTGCTATTAATGAGCAGAAAACATAACATTGATATCGTTTAACGCTATATAATTAAGGCAAAAAGACAAATGGCTTATATGCTTAATGAAGTTTGCATTACAAATATCAAATATTTAGACAGTCTTGTAGGAATAATAAAATTAATTCAAAGATATTTTACTTACATTACCAAATGTCTTGAGCGAGAGATCGACAAATATTCCAGCGGAGATCTTTGACGGCGCGTTAGACATACGAATCAGTAATATGACGCTACGCGCTTTTTTGTACGGAAGACGAAACCACTCAAGCTCGCAAGAAGCAATGGCTACCTTTTCTGCCTATCATTGGATTATTAAAAAAATTTGTTTTTATCAAATTTTTATTTGCTACTTCAAAAATATTGCAATATGTTTCATATGTTTCTTTTACGATATATTTATAAAGATATTTATATGTATAACTCATTTTACACGTAGAAATTGTCATAAGATTTATGTAAAATTGCATATTTGCAATTTACAATTTTAATTGCAAATAATTTGAAAATAAATTATTTTAATCATAAAATGTTATTATTGTTATTTTCATTATTACTATTTATGTTCTAAAAACTGATCACGTTAATTTCCGTGAAACTTACCTGACTAGTAAGCTGTTCACCGGTGTAACAAAATAGAAACGTGTGAATTATCACATTTGTAATGCTTATGCAGTAAGTGCATACAGTTGCTATATTCCTATTTTCCCAGTCCTGCAAATATAAGTGCTTCATGTAATTATATTGTTAAATTATTACTGTAAAATCTGAAATGACTATTTGTTAACAAAACATACATTTTTATAAGAATTTAAAGTTTGAGTTCAGATAAGAAAGTTCTAAACTGTGAATAATTATCGAATTTTTGTTTTTTTCCTATTTGTCATTTTGCAATATGCCAAAATATTTGATTTATTCCGTTATTAAAATAAATTGACAAACTTACGAACCACTAACATAAAATATACTAAAATACAGAGTGACGCCGTGTTTACTGCAATTTCCAGTATATATACTTCTTGCAAGGTATGTTGTACCAATCGTAAAAAACTGAAATGCAATTATCGATAATAATAATTAATTTGATTTAATAGAAAAAAATAAATATCAATAAAATGTGAAAGAATAGAAAGCTAATATTTACCATGACATTGTTAATAAATATTATGATAATAAGTACGCGTAATAAAACGTATAAGTGCTATACTATCAGCGTGAATAATATGTTAGTAAGTGGGCTTACTTTCGCACTCTCATTTGATGATTCACTATTTCAGCTAGCTTTGTATTCATTTCATGTTCCTCTTGCCATTGTACGAGTGCTGTCATTAAACTGATCAAGATTTTCAATTGGCCGCACGCATGTTCCACAAAAATCGCCGTGAGACCGCATGCACTTGTCACAATCGAAACTGGAATAAATCCTATTACAAACTGGATTATAAAGATTGTCTCGTAAACAGGAGTGACTTGCACATCGAGGGAAAAGAAGTAACCCGGACAGGAGAAGTGTCTTATCGTGATGTTCTGATCGGTGATAATCTTTCCCTGGAACAACGGTAGGATTGTTCGGAAGGTAATGACAGCACTATACATGAAAATTCCACAGATCGTAATCAGACGCTTTCCCATTCTCGCGGATTTTAGCATAATATTTCGTGAATCCACATTGAGAACGTTCTCCCAATCCTCCTCAACGTGCATCAAACACCTCTTGAGTTGATCATAGCGAGATATGAAGATGCCATATTGACTAACGGACATAAAATCGTAAAGAAGAAAAGGAATCATTTGCAGTCGAATGCGCGACGTTGCTTCTATAAACCAGTAAAGGATACTGGGCACAAAGTCGCAAAAGAGAAGAGTGTAAGATATACAAATTAGCAAAAGATTGTAAGCCTTCTGGTATACAGATCTTTCTTTTCTGATGGAGGGCCAAGCGCCGAGCGCGAGCAACAAATTGCGAATTGGTTGCATGACATACAAAATATCATATTGATAATGTTCATTTCGCAGCATTTCTTTAGATTTCGACGAATATTCTACGGTTATACTTTCGAGCTTTATCCACTTTATGCACTTAATATAATGCCTGCGCGCTAACTGAATGCCACCGAGACACCGACCGTCGAAGAACGACGCTGACCGCAAAGTCGTCAACTCGTCGCTCGCGCACATGCTTGCGCATTTTAAAGATTTAACTGTCGTATGAAGAGAGAATAAAAGCAAAAAAACTTGTAAATGGAGCCGTTTGCAAGAGTCGAGATTGCATGCCATAAAATGTATTTTCCATTAACCTTCCTTACTGTAGCAACTAAAAAAGTTATCAGATATTACTCTTCTTCCTGTCTCATAGACTTGGTATTATTTCAGTCACAATATCATATCTGACACTAAAATGATTTCTATATTACGCATTTCTACATTCTATAGGATAATAAAATCGTAAGTATATATGATACATATTTACATCACATTAATCTACGTTAACAATAATTGATAATAATTATTATCAACTATTGTCATAATTGTAGATCTACAATATAGAATAGACTTATAATATAGAGTACGGAAAACATTTAAAATACATATACTAAATATAGCAAAAAATTAATTAAAATAGGGTTGCGAAATAGATATAGCATAATAAGAGACAGAAATTGAAAAGGGATTTTAATGATTGATAATAATTATCAGTAACAGAGATACTACAGTAATAAAATTTATGAGGAAAGTAAGTAAAATTCTCAGTACAAATAAATGTACGTAATAAACACATTTGTGAATGTATAAAATTATATGAATTGTTCATTGAAATATAATCAAATATATATATATTTAAATGATATTTTATATTACATTTAGATTGTTGTTTTTATGGTTTTGTATTTTACTCATCCAATAGATTCATATGGTGGATCGAACAATTAACATTATAATTTCAACTAATAGAATTTAATGATTTAATCGATTACACTTCGGAGCATATTAAAATATGTCCCAGCTGTTTTTATGACCTAAAACATTTACAATTATATTTTCCTGTAATTTTTAATTAACCATATTTACCGTAATTGCAAACATCAAGTATATATTTAATAAGTTGACTTATACAAATACAATATTTATTTTATAAAAAAAGATTTCATCTCAACTATCTAACTACTCATGGATTTAAAATGTTAATATTTATATCGTAAATTTATATTATAATTAATATAAAAATATAAATAGCAATATATTTTTTATTAAGTATATTTTATGTAAAATTTCAATATATTTAGACAGTCTTTTATGGAAATAATAGAATTAATTTAAAATTAATTTTTACTTACATTACCAAATGTTTTGAGCGAGAGATCGACGAACTGTCCAGCAGAGATCTTTGTCGGCATGTTAGACATAATAATCAGCAATACAACGCTACGCGCTTTTTTGTCCGGAAGACGATACCACTCGAGCATGCAAGATGTAATAGCTACCTTTTCCGCCTATCGTTGAATTTATCATCACGTAGCAATGGCCATAAAATGGGTTTGTATCATAATTTCATTTGCTATTTCAAAGATATTGCAACACGTTCCCTGTATTTCTTTTTCACGATATAATCATGAAGATATTTATAAAACTTATTTTAGCATGCAATAGTAACTCTTTCAAAATTTTTAATTTAAGTAAAATTGAATTTGCAGTTTTAATTGCAAATAATATAAAAATAAATTATTGTAATTATGGAACATATTATTGCTATTTTCATTATTATTACTTGTGTTTTAAAAAATGGACACATTAATATTCGTGAGACTTACTTGGCCGGTAAGCTGTTCACCAGTATAACAAAATAGAAACATGTGAATTATTACATTTATAATGCTTATCAAATATGAGCATAGAGTTCCTATATTCCTAGTTTGCCAGTCCTACAAATATAAATGCTTTATGTGGTAATCATATTATTATTGAATAATTACTGATTAACTATAAAATATATATAAAATTTGAAATAACTATATTTTGTCAATAAAAAATATACATTATTATGAGAATTTAAAATCAAGTAAAAAATTCTAAATTGTGAATAATTATCGAATTTTTATTTTTTCAATTTTTCATTTTAATATGCAAAAATATTTAATTTGTTCTGTTATTAAAATTAATTGGCAAACTTACGAACCATTAACATAAAATACACTAACAAACAGATTGTTGTTGTATTTATTACAATTTCCAGCATATATATTTCCTGTAAGGTATGTTGTACTAATCGTAAAAAACTGAAATGTAATTATCAATGATGACTATTAATGCTACTTAAACTAATAGAAAAATAAATAAATATCAATAAAATGTGAAAGAATAAAAATTTTTACCAAGCATAATATTGTCAATAAGTATTATTATTAATAACATATATTATTATTAATATGTAATAAGTTTATTAGTATAAGGTAAGTCGGAGGAAGATGCCATAGTTAACTTTGGATCGAGATATTTTTTCAACCATTCTCGATATATAAAAGGAAATAAAATCAATAAAAAATTTGATTAGTCTTATTTATTGCTGTTTAATTACAGAAATGTAAATATCTTGTAAGAATTTTTCGCAATAAAAAAATAAAAACCTTTCTAAGTAGCATCTTACTCAACCTATTGGGTAAGATGTTACGAGATCTATAATAAGATTCCCTAACTGATTTTCACTAAATAAAACATAATATATAATATATAAATATTAAAAATTCTATTAAATATTATTCTCAACAATAAAGAATAGTTTCTAATAATAGAGAATAATTTTTCTTGAAAATAAACGATCTCTAAGTAATAAATGAGAAATAAAATATATACTATTATATCTTCCTTTTAATAGCAGTAATAAAAAGTTATTTCTTAAAGTAAACGATCTCTAGATAGTAAATAAAAGATAAAAATATGCAACACACTTTAACTACAATAAAGAAAATAATTATTTCTTACAAACTGTAAACAGTTTTCATCCCCTTGGATCTTCTTTGAGTCATCTGTTGCATTTTTTGCAACAATAATTCTTTACTCACTCATATCTAGATCTTTCTTTAGCATTATAATAAAGTTTACCAATTGCATAATAATCGTCATTTTCTGTGTCAGTCAATGTAATAAATATTTGCTTCTTGAAAGCTCTGTTTGAAGATAAAGTTATTCTTCATTATTTTTTGTTTTTAAAGCAACTTGCCCCTTGTGGCATCTTACCCAATACGACTAGAAAATATAGTATCAGACTATATCAACTACGTGCTATTGATAATATAATCACTTAATATATAATAAAATTTACTCTTGATGCTAAAAAATAATGTAATCCACTGCGTATTTGTGAAATCAAGTCTACAAAAGATTAATATAAATTTTAAATATATTGTAAAATATGATTAGAACAGAACTTTTTATCAACTTACCTTGATAAATTCATAATTTTTTTAAATAAAAATGAAAAGCGAGTTCTAGTCGTATCATTCCTGGTTTACAAATGAATAAACTGAGAATACCACTAATACCATCTATGCATAAACATGGAAATTATTATTAAATAGCATCTTGCCTGGCATGGCATGTTCCCCCGACTTACCGTAAATGCTAACTATGAACAACGTTAGCAAAGTTGCTGCCTTACTTGCGCACTCTTATTTGATGCTCCACTATTTCAGCTAGCTTCTTATTTGTTTCACATTCTTCTTGCCATTCTTTCTGTACGAGTTCTGTCATCAAACCGATTAAGATTTTTAATTGACCGCAAGCATGTACTACAAAAATCGCTGTAAGGCCACATGCACATGTCACGATCGAAACTGTAATAAATCCTGTTAGAAATTGGATTATAAAGACCGTCTCGTAAACGGGGCTGACTTGTACGTCGAGGGAAAAGTAGTAACCCGGACAGGCAAAGCGTCTTATCGTGACGTTCTGATCAATGATGATCTTTCCCTGGAACAACGGTAAGATTCCTCGGAAGGTAATGACGCCACTGTACATGAAAAATGCGCAAATCGTAACTAGACGTTTCCCCGTCCTCGCAGATTTCAGCATAATGTTTCGTGCGTCCACGCTGAGAATATTCTCCCAATCCTCCTCGACGTGCTTCAAGCATCGCTTGAGTTGATCATAGCGAGATATGAAGATGCTGTATTGACTGGCGGACATGAAGTCATAAAGGAGAAGAGGGATCATCTGCAGTCGAACGCGCATTGTTGCCTTCATCAACCAGTAAAGGATACCGGGTATAAGGTCGCAAAAGAGAAGAGTGTAGGACATAAAGATTAGCAAGAAATTGTGAACCTTCGAGTGTATGGATTCTCCTTTATTGATGGAGGGCCAAGCGCCAAGTGCGAGCAGAATGTTACGAGTTGGTTGCGTAATGTACAAAATATCGTTTTGGTGATGCTTATTTTGCGACATTTCTCTATGAACTTTAATGAATCTTCGGTACTGTCGAGCTTTATCATCCACGTAACGTGCACTTAATGCACCTAAGTACGAACTAAATTGCTATCGGTTGTTGAAGGACAAGGCTGACCGCGAAGTCAACTCGTCGCTTGCGCATATGCTTGCGCATTTTAAAGATTTAATGTCGCATGAGAAAAAAGAAAAGCAGAAAGGCTTGTAAATGGAATCATTCGCATCAAGGGTCGAGATTGCCTTCCACGAAATGTATATTTATCCATCAACCTTCTCTTACTAGTAACTAAGAAAGTTATTATATGTAACTTTGTTTTTTCCTGTTTCGTGAGCTTAGTACTGTCTATATCACAATATCGCATTTGCCATAAAAATTATGTTCACGTTACATATATTTTACAATAGAATAATAAGATGTCTAAGTATGTAAGAGATATATTTATATCACATTTAATCTACATTTGATACATATGTATCACTAGATACATTTCTAGAAATATTAATGCATACACTAAAAAAAAATTTGCTGAATTTTAATAAATATTTGTTTCAATAGAGCTAACAAAATATTATCTTACAGTAAATAAATATTTACTCAAAATAAAAAATTATGCTTAAATCAAATAAATATACGTTTACATTTAGTAAAAATTTCGTTGGTATTATTGAAACAAATATTTAATAAACTTTAGTATTTTTTGTTTCAGTATATGTGTTATACATATGTAACGTTAAAATTTTGATAATTGAAACTTAAATATGTAATTAAAATATTTGATTGTGCTTTGATACATATATTCCTTTTTAATAATCTAAAATATTTTCTTTATTATTTAATGTTTTAATTCATGAGTCACGACTCATGGTGGAAAATAACAATTGATCGTGAAGTAAACTCACAGTCAGAATATGAGCTTGCACGCAATAAGAATTTAATCATTGCATGGAAAACAGAGACTAAGTACAGTAGAGTTTGCAAGGAAAGTTGCTTATCGAAAGGGACAATTGTATTCTAAAGAAAGTATTCGTATTTGTTTGTTAAACTTTATACCAACTAGGAAAACGATTATGTTTATCTTCTTATTACTAATAATTATGTTCTTATTACTAATAAAATATATGTATTCATAAAAATATTTAATGAGATATGAATTATTCAATAAAACAAAATTAAATATTAAAAAATCCTTTATCATTTTGCAGTTTTCGCATTGCAGTCATTACTGAACACTCTGTATATAATTAAATAATATTTTACATTACATTTAATATATATATGTTTTGTATTCAAATCATATATGCAATTGATTCACATAATATAATGGTATAAAACAACTAATATTACAATTTCAACTATTAAAATTTAATGATTCAATCAATGACATTTCGGAGCATATTAAAAAACGCCCCCGCTGTTTTCATGACCTAAAACATTTTCAACTGTTTTCTCGTCTGATTTGTTTTCAATTAATCATATTTACCATCATTGCAAGTAACAAACATACATTTAATAAAATTGACATATGTAAATGATATGATACTTATTTTATAAAAAAGGATTCTAAATTGTCTTATTGCAATTTGTAAATATAAAATATTAATATTGATGTCGTTTAACGCTATACTATAATTAAAACACAAACAGACTTACTTTAAAAAAAGCTACAACGTACTTAAATACTCTTTCGTAGAAACATGTAATTTACTTACATCACCAAATGTTTTGAGAGAGAGATCGATGAACTTTCCAGAGATTTTGGTCGGCGCGTTCGACATAATAATCAGCAATACAACGCTACGCGCTTTTTTGTCCGGAAGACGATACCATTCGAGCTCACAGGATGCAATGGCTACTTTTTCCGCCTATCGTTGGATTTATCATCACGTAGCAATGGCCATAAAATGTGTTTGTATCATAATTTCATTTGCTATTTCAAGAGGATATTGCAACACGTTTCCTGTTTCTTTTTTTCATGATATATTTATAAAAATATAATATAAAACTTATTTTAGCACGCAGTACTAACTCTTTCAAGATTTGATTAAAATTGAATGTATAATTACACATAATTTGATAATAAGTTATTTTAGTAATGGAACATTGTTATTGCTAATTTTATTATTATTGTGTTTTAGAAATTGGACTACATTAATATCTATAAATCTTACCTGGCCGGTAAGTTGTTCGCCAGTGTAGCAAAATAGAAACATGTGAGTTGTCACATTTACAATACATAACCAATAAGTACATAAAGTTGGTATATTCCTATTTTGCCAATCCTATAAATGCATAAGTATTTTGTATAAGTTTATTAATATTAAGTAATTTATTATTATGACTAACTTCTGTAAAATTTGAAAGAGAGAAAACTATTTGTTGCCAAAATATATATTATTATAAAAATTAGAATGCAAATAAAAATTTTTAATTACGAGAAATTAATAAATTTTTGTTTTTTTTTATTTTATTTTACGTTAAAATATTTTATTTTATGTAAAAATATTTAATTTATTCCGTTATTTTAGCATTAATTAACCAACTTACGAACCACTAACATAAAATACACTAAAAGGCAAATAGTTATTGTGTTCACCAGATATTCCACCACATATATTTCCTGCAAGGTATGCTGCACTAGCCGTAAAAAACTAAAATATAATTACCGAGAATAACAATTAATACTTAGACTTAGAAATAATAAAATAAGAAAACAAAAAGTTCATAATTTTGTTA